GCAGATTAAAATTCGGTCCATCATGTTTTTTTTGCGTCAATTCGTGTGGCACCCAACATGGAGCTTTTTTTTGAATCCAGCTTTATGCAAATGGTTTAAAACTGTTTTGTGGTCGATCTTCAGCTTCTGGGCTATACTACGACTGCTAACATGCCGGTCTGCTTCGATCATTTCCATAATTTTATTACCTACCTGTGCGAGATGCATCTTTAACATCAAAATTACCGGAACGGAATCGACGAAACTAAAATTGCGCATGATTGGCTGTGACAGTATCGAGACCATAAATACCATTCACAATTTCAGCCGCCCGGCTTGTATTTTCGCCTTTATCGAAGCAAAATTGTAAAATATACCGAATTTTCTCTTTGTTGACGAACGTCTTTTACGTGCTATAACTCACAACTTAATCGACAAATCACAAAGCCGTTAAAGAATTTCTTTTAGTACGGAATGTCACTTTTTCAACGAGTATAAATATTAACCTTGCGATTAATATATCACGTGATATATAACACTAAAGCCATCTAGCGGAAAAATAATGGATTTCTTTTTCCCCAACCTAATATGTGCTTCCTTAAAAAGGCCGGAAACTTTTCAAATAACCCTCGTACCTGAGCCCAGCGCAGAAATGACGACGGGGAAACTGCGAAGGCGAAAGAGGGCTACCTCCAGGTGAGAGGGGCTTTCAAAGCCGCCATCGGCGAGGCCAAGGCCAAAACCTTGCAATCGTTGGTGGATCCGTTGAGGCACCCCTACAAATGAACGGTCGGGAAGATCCAATCGTGGGCGCCCCGACAGACAGAGGCCCTCGATCCCCAGGTCCTGGGGGGGGGGTGCTGGATGCACTCTTTGCGAGTGCGGAAGATGCACCCTCGCGGATCCCCGTCTCTAAGGTGCAGGATGGGGATTGGAAGGAGGACCTGGGCGTGGATCTCGAGTTCATCAGGGCCAGGAAGAAGCTCGGGGCCAAAGGCAAAGCCCCGTGCCCTGACGGTATTCCTGGCCGAATCTGGGCTCTGGTCCTCGCCAAGGGAAACCTGTTTGCCTTCTTAAGGGGGGAGCCTGATTTAGAAAGTCCAAAAATCGACTTTTTTCTTTTCGGCTTAATTGATAGTAGTACTCTTTGAAAATGTACATTTCAAATTTCAAAACAATATCTCTTAAATTCTGGAAATCTGAGAAGCCGAGCGCGCAAAGTAGCCAGGTAACCAGGCCTATCCCTTTCATTCAGCTTTTCTTAAAAAATCATTGGCCCGATAGATGTGTTGTCCCCATCATATGAGTCAAGGACGATTCAAAGGAAAATGAGAATGTGTATGTGTGTATGTGTGTGTAAAGAAATTCGAAACGACGCTGTGCGTACTGCATATAACGATTAGTTGAGTTCAGACCGCCAGCATGTTACTACCTTTCTAGACGCTAATTTATTTATTTGTTTTATTTTTTCTTAATTGAGAAAATGTCAATATATCCGAAAAAATCTCATGAAGAACGATACCATGCTTTAGAGCCACAAAAAAATTTCACGGCAACCGTTTTGCTAAGCAATGTGAAAGTGAAAATGTGATTTCAAGTGCATCTAAAGGAAAATATAGCAGTGCTGATAATCACGACATACTATTGTGATCAAAAAATAAGGTGAGTTTGTTTATAAAGTGAAAAATCTTTATTTATTCTTCCAAATAAATTCCATCGCCTTCAAAGTACTCCCCGTCCGACACAATGCACTTATGCCAACGTTTTTTCCAATCCTCGAAGCAGTCAGAGAAGTCTTTTTCCGGGATGGCCTTCAATATTTTCTTCGATTCGGCTTTTATCTCCTCAATCGAGTCGAAACGATGTCCCTGGAGCGGTCTTTTGAGTTTGTTGAACAGCCAGAAGTCGCACGGTATTAAATCAGACGAATACGGTGGTTGTGGAACGATATGGGTCGAACTTTTGGCGAAATGTTCTCGAAGAATCAATGCAGTGTGGGACGGTGCATTATCGTGGTGCAAAAACCAAGAATTGTCTGAATAATTCTGGCCTCTTGAGGCGAATAGCTTCACGCAAACGATGCATAACACTCAAATAATATTCCTTGTTAATAGTTTGATTTCCTTGACGTGGCTTTCATCGGTAGATGTTGATGGTCGTTCGGGGCGCTGTTCGTCTTGAACTCGTTCTCGGTCTTCTTTGAAGTCTTTGTACCACTTGTAAACATTTTTTTGCGACATAGCTTTATCACCAAAGACCTTCTGCAACATCCTCAACGTTTCCGCGGCAGAATATTCATTCCGCAAACAAAATTTAATACAAATTCTTTGCTCAACAAAATCAGACATAGTAAAAATCGAAAAACTCACTTTTGTATGTTTACAAAAACACGTAAAGCTCTGCAGCAATTGAATATATCGATATGAAACTTTGCATAGATGTCAAAGACAGTGCTACCAACCCACCAAAAAATAATTTCATGACTTTATAGTACCCGCGAAGTTTAAATGAAAAATTCACCTTATTTTTTGATATTTTTTGATTTGAGTAGTATATTTAGGACGATATTGTTTAGGACACAGCTCGGCAAAAAATGCATGCGACGGCCGATTTTCGACTATATCCGCCCACCGCTGTTCCCTTTACCTCTCCACTCCACATGCTGCCTACAAGCCGCTCGAGCCTCAGGAGCGTGTTTCCAACAGTTTTCCACGTCACTCATGAGGTACTATTGTTGACGCGTTTTTTTTAAGTGGTATCCCCAGTAGGCCTAATCCACTGATGACTGTAACAACCCGTAACTAATTGAACAGAAGCGAAATAAAATATGTTAAATGAAGAATATTTAATTCGATTTTCGGCGTCTTTTATTAGTAAGAACGGAAACGTCAATTTGCATATTGCATGTAGCGAGCCTCATAAAACGTGGTAAGGAATCGTCGTTTAAAGAAGAACGCTTCTCATTTTTTATAAATTTCATTTTCAAAAATAATTTTTATAAACTTCATTTTCAAAAATGAAGTTTATAAAAAATGAGAAGCGTTCTTCTTTAAACGACGATTCCTTACCACGTCTTATGCGGCTCGCTACATGCAATATGCAAATTGACGTTTCCGCTCTTACTAATAAAAGACGCCGAAAATCGAATTAAATATTCTTCATTTAACATATTTTATTTCGCTTCTGTTCAATTAGTTACGGGTTGTTACAGTCATCAGTGGATTAGGCCTACTGGGGATACCACTTAAAAAAAACGCGTCAACAATAGTACCTCATGAGTGACGTGGAAAACTGTTGGAAACACGCTCCTGAGGCTCGAGCGGTTTGTAGGCAGCATGCGGAGTGGCGAGGTAAAGGGAACAACGGTGGGCGGAAATTGTCGAAAATCGGCCGTCGCGTGCATTTTTTGCCGAGCTCTGGTTTAGGAGGTCACACCAAACGCAAACGAGAGTTTTGACTCTACGGAGTGGTGTCTTGCTCCTAAGCACTTGCATTCGGGCGCCAAAATAATTGAAATTGCTGCTTTTGGTGCTTGCATCTTCAATGAAGGATATTATTTAATATTGAAGATGATGAATGAATTAGAGATCATAATTCGTCAAAATGCGAAATTTTTTGCTGAATCGTACGATGACTTACTATCAAGAGAGGAGAGCGCCGCAGCTTAAACAACACCAAAGAGGCTACAGCAACTCGTAGAATGGAACTGATTCAAGAGAACGAGTTCCACGAAGAAAATGAGGGACTATTATATGCCCCTGGAATAGCTGATTAGTCTGAGATTGCTGTAAGTTTAAAAAAATTACTTCTCTTCTTAAAAAAAAACTTTAAACATTTTTCTCAAAACCGTATTTTTCAGTTTTGTACCGGTGATAAAAAAACTACTTGACGGATCGAGTTGTTCCAAAAAAATTTTGAAAGATTATAAAATTCTCTTCCATATGAAATAAAAATTTCAGAAGAAAATGTTTTTAACTAGTTATAGACAAAATTTTTGGCCGAAAATCGATTTTGTTTCTTTAAATCATTAAAAAATTATAAAACTGTTAACTTTAGTTAATTTTTTAGTTCATGTACAAAATACATATGTAATAATTAATATCTTTATTTTTTTTGTTTGAGACAAAATTACGCTCGCTATTACCGGCGCAAGCAGACACCGTGATTTCTGAAGCAATGGAAACACTTGCAATTCAACGCCTAAAATATTCTTTTTATTATTAAAAATTTTTTTATCTTCCAAATGTTAATGAAAATGCTGTAAAAATTCATGAATAGATATCAACTTTAAGTTAAAAAAATTTCATGAAAAACGTTTCTTTGGTCTTCTAAACCAGGCTCTTTCCTTAAGGCGTGTCTTCACCAAAAAGAGGCCTGAAAGAGGCGATCTTCCTCCCAGAGTGGAGGAAGGCCAAGTTAATATTTCTCCCGAAGGAGGGCAAAGCGACTAGCAGCCCATCGGCCTATAGGCCGATTTGCCTACTGGACGAGACGGGAAAGATGTTGGAGCGAATCATCGCCGACCGCCTCGTCCGGCATCTGTCCCTGAAGGGGCCAAGACCTTCGCGACGAACAATAGCGGTTTAGGTTCGGTCGGTCCACGCTGGATGCGATCCGAGACCTGACCTGTGAAGTCGTGGAGATCGGGGGCAGGATGTTATTGGCGGTCTCGTTGGATATAACGAACGTCTTCAATACCCTTCCCTGGCTGGAAATCTGGTGGGCCCTCGAATACCACGGTGTGCCCGCTTACGTCCAGCGAATATCGGCCAGCTACTTCGGGGACAGGGACCTCGCCTGCACGACGACAGGCGGGGTCCAGGGCCGACGGGCGATGCACTGCGGTGTCCCACAGCGGTCGGTACTCCCTGCTGTGGGACATCGTTTATGACCGGGTGTTTCGCACTGCCCTCCTTCCCAGCTGCCACGTCAACTGTTACGCGGATAACACGTTAGTGATGGCTGAGCGAGAAATCTAAAGGAAGGCCCGCTTCCGAGGGGAGGCGGCACTGGTATCAATGATGGGCTCTATCAAAAGCCTAAGACTCCAAGTGGCGCTCCACAAGACGGAAGCGCTCTTCTTCCACGACGGAAGTCGTGGAGCGGCGCCGGAGTCCTGGGTGACGGTGGATAAAGTCCGCGTCCGCATAGAGCCCAGTATTAAATACTGGGGCCTGATGTTGGACGGCAGATGGGACTTTGGGCCGCACTTCAGGTGGCTGGCCCCCTGGGTCTACAAAGTCGGGCTGGCGTTAGCCGGCCTGATGCAGAACCAGGGAGGGCCAAAGATGGCACGCTCGCCGCCTGTATACAGGGGTGATCCTGTCAGTCGCCCTCTATGAAGTGCCTATCTGAACGCTTCAGCTCCTGGGCACCGACCGCTATGTTCGCCTGATACGTCAGGTGATGCGGTCGGTGGTCGTGAGAGCGACTCGTGCCTTTAGGACTATCTCCTATATAGCGGCGACGACCCTGACCGGCCTTTCCCCCGTGGAGCTCATCGCTCAAGAACGATACGTTCTTTATTGGCGTATAAAAAAGCTCCGCGGGGCGGAGGAAGCTGTGTCAGCCAGGGGCCTGGCGGCCCTGAAGTCCAGAGTCTGGATGATGGAGCGGTGGGAGAACATCCTCACTGACCCCCACCCGGGCTTCGAACGGCCGAAACCGTCGCCCCTGTCTCGCCGATATGGCGAGCAGAAGGGGATGGTAGGAGATGTTCACCTACCATCTGGTGCAGATTCTAACCGGCCATGGGTGCTTTGGCCAGTTCCTGCACCGGATCTAGAAAGGGCCCACTGCTCGATGTCACTACTGTCCGGAGCTGGAGGACACGTTCCAGCACACGCTGGTTTCGTGCAGCACATGCTGATCTGATGCAATGCATGGGACCAGCAGCGCCGTGTCCTCGCCCGGGCAGTGGGCTGCGAAAAGGAAGGCTCTTACTCTCGCTCCCGCGCATGTTGGAGGTCATGTGCGGGAACGAAGAGGCGTGGTCAACGGCGGTCTCCTTTGCGGAGGACATAATGTCCCGCAAGGAGATCGCTGAATGGGAACGTCGACTTGGTTGCAGTAGGCGACGGGACAGGCGACGTTCCCCTGGCCAAGAGAGCGGCCCTGAGGTGGCGTCAGTCGAGGAGCCACCTCCGATCCCTCGGGGCTTCCTTGATCCAGGGCTCGCCACCGTCCGCGGACGAGGAGGGGGGGATAGGCTGCTGAAGTGGTCCTCCCGCGTGACGGAAAGAAAGGGAAAGAGGAATGGGGGTACCAGTTGGAGACGGGCTCCACTCCCTGCCCCTCTCATCGCCGAGAGGGGCTAGGAGAAAGGACGGGTGTCCCCTCTTTCCTGCAATGGACCAGGTTGGCTAACTCGGCCGGGAAAGTCTGCCCGGTCGGGGTTCCGCGCCCCTCCTGAGGAAAGGCGCTGCATTTGGGCGAGGAGCTCCTTTAGAGCCCCAGGGCCGAAGTGTTGGGGAAGGAATTTTGGTGCAGTTCCCCTGACTCCCCCACTCCAGCCCGCCTGGTAGGCACCCCGGGGGCGTTTTATCCGGTAAGAGTCCGACATAACGTCCCCTCAAGAGGGGCGGGATATCCATGAGGATTCCCTCCCCCCCTGTTAACAAAAAAACGTACAAATTCTAACTGGATTCAAGAAGCATATATATAGTATCCACAAAAATTCAATGTTTGGCCAGGTATTTTGAATAATGTTTTCATAAGTCCATTTTTTATTGAAGGCAATCTAATAGCGATAAAACATGAGAATGTGCTAAGAAATGAAATAGTTCCAGTGATACAAGCAGTGACGGGTGATGATTTCGAGAATACATAGTTTCAGCAAGATGGTGCTGCACCACATTACGGGACGGACATCCGTAATTATTTGCATACAGTATTTCCTCAGATAGATAGACAGAAGAGGATCTGTAGAATGGCTTCCTGGATCGCCAGATTTGTCACCTCTTGATTACCTTCTGTGCGGGTATTTAAAAGACAAAGTTTATAAAACGAATTCACAAGATCTGAATGATTTACGAAATCGGATTCTTGGTGAAGCTGCTATTATTCGTATTGATTACAATCAAAATGCTATTTCATCTTTTTACGGTAAGATAGCTTTTTGTCAAACTGTTGATGGTGGACATTTTGCTATAAACCTTTCCAGTCTTGCCTTAGTTAGGTGGACAGTCTTGTCTTAGTTGGCTGAACAATTGGCAATCTCGCTTTAGTTGACTGGACAGTCTCGTCTTAGTTGGCTGGACAATCTTGCCTTAGTTGATTGGACAGCCTTGCCTTAGTTGGCTGCACAATTGGCTCGCCTTCGTAAGTTAGACATTTTACCATAAAAAGGTCGATGACTTCGAAATAACTTATAGTGGGTAAAGTGGGTAAGATTTGAAAAGATCTGAAGGAGTGCTACAAGAACTTATCTTGTAACTCGCAAAATATTTAACGAAAAACCATTAAGTTATAGTGTTTTGGAAAGCTCTTGAGATAAGCTATAAGAATGTGTAATGAAAAATAGGGAGTTCTATTTAAGAAACTTAAGATGACTTTCACGTGACCTTGAAAACGCTTTTTAAGGTCATATTGATATTGCTATGCAATGCGTTACTTGACACCCTATAACTTTTGTCTGAAACATTTTTTCATAAAAATTATATTTTTCGATACATTTCGGGGTTCCGGTATTTCTTCCTCACCCTATACAGGGTGTCCCATTTTTATGTCCCACCCTAAATAACTCTTCAGTATTGAAGTTTCAAGGAAAATTATCTGAATTATCTGAAAATTATCTGAAAAGTTATAGAGATTTAAGTGAACTACCTTATAATGACCTTTACTTTAAGCTTAACTTCTATTTTCATTCAAGGTCATTCAAGGTCATTTGAAGGTCAACTTACGTTTTTTAAATGGAAATTCCCATTGCTTATTACACTGTTTTTTTTACCAATTAATTTGAACAACTGATGTCTAAAACATTTCTTATTTGCCTAATATTTTTGAGATATTTGAGGAAAACTTGATAAGTTTTTCAATATTTAACTTACGATATCTCGCTAACTATTTGTCGGAAGAAAAAGTGGTACTAGACTTTCCGGCTGTATTCAATCTCAAGAATATGTTGTTATAATATCGCCCTATACTTTTGTTAACTTACCGACTTTTGGAAATTTCAAAATCATCAAATTAACAAAAATCAGAATACCATTGTAATAATATATTCTTGAGACTAAATTTCTCTTCCGACAAAATAGCTAGCGAGATATCGTCAGTTAAATATTGAAAAAGTTATCAAGTTTTCGTCAATATCACAAAAAGTATTAGGCAAATAAAAAATGTTTGAGACGAAAGTTGTTCAAACTTACTAGTAGAGAAAAACAATGTAATAAAAAATAAGGGTTCCCATTTAAAAAACGCAAGTTGACCTTCAAATAACCTTGGAAATAGAGGTCAAGGTCAGAGTCAAAGTCATCATAAGGTAGCTCACTTAAATCCCTACAACTTTTATTCAGATCATTTTCCTTGAAACTTCAATGCTGAAGAGATATTAGGGTGATCCGTTACTTTTGGGACATCCTGTATACATGATATACTCTGTATATATAGGGTGTCCCATTTTAATAGTTAGAAAACAGCGTCGCAGTGTGTATGTGTGTGTGTATATGTGCGCGCGCGTGCATGGGTGTGTGTATGTCATCATGCTTACATGAGTGTGGATACCTAAGAATGATAAAATACATATTTTATTGAAGTTCGAAAACCTTAATTATCACTGCAGAGAGCGGTCGTAGAGAAAAATGTATCAGACAAAAGTTATAGGGTTCACTCAGAGAGCCCTCTGATTGTGACCTTGATCTTGGAATCAAATTTGAAGATCATTCGGAGGCCAACATAAAATTTTAAACGAAAACCCTTATTTTTCAGTACATATTTTTATAGCTCAGCTTGAGAGCTTTCCAAAACATTACAATTAAATATTTTTTATTCAGTATTTTCCGAGTTACAAGGTTTGAAACAGTACCGTCGGCATTACCTAAATTATACCGCGTGAAGATTGCTTGGTCAGATTTACACCTTTTTGTCGTGTATGTATGTGTGTATGTGTGCACGCGCGTGCATGTGTGCGTGTGTGTGTCTATGTGTATATGTGGGTGTGTATGTGTGGATGTGTAACAAGCTATGCTTGAGCACCAGCTATGCTTGAAATAGTTCGTAACAATTTTGATAAAAGATTGCATTTATGAATCCAAGAAGGGGGACCTATTTTCGAACTTCAATAAAATATGTATTTTATCATTCTTAGGTATCCACACTCATGTAAGCATGATGACATACACACACCCATGCACGCGCGCGCACATATACACACACACATACACACTGCGACGCTGTTTTCTAAGCGCCAGCAAATTGCCGTCGATCCACGCGTTACGGGCTTTTACACCAAGAAGAAACGAATGTTCGGCGCCAGGTGCGGATAGCCGCACTACCCACCAACTCTAATCGCCAAACTCGCGACTGCGACGCAGGAGTCCGACGGGACCGGTAACTCGGGAGAAATTCTAGTCGGTAGACGGGATGGATTAGGTCGGAAATCGAGAAATCCAGAAGGCAGAGAAGAAATTTGCGACATGGTTTCTACGGCAATTCTCTTTCTTTATTTCTGGGAGTCGGTATGCCCTGAATTTTTGCGGAAAGATACAATTTGGCTCTACGCGCGTACTCGCGAGATCGGTACCGCTCACCGCAACACAACGCAACTTTCCAACGACACTTGCAAACGGAACACCGAATATACGCAGGTGAAAGGTCTTATAAATTCGGGAGCATCCCGGCGGCGTAGCCCTGGTCGGGCGTCGGACGAGTCGCTCTTGGCTCTGGGTCTGTCACGGACGGCGGGCGTTTCGTCGCGCTTCCTCGGGGTCGCCTCGGCTCGACACCTGACACCACACAGCACTTGTTCTTTTATCGGTAGCGACCGAAACGCAACGAAATAATTCTTTCTTTTTGGCCTTGATATGCGGAATATAAAACGAGATTTTTCTCTTTTCAAAGGAAAAACGAGACTGAATATTTTTCAGTCCCAAAAACAGAATCTTATCTCTTCCTTTGTCTCTCCGTCTCGGGAGGAGTTCCTCTCTCCTCGTTCCTCGCTCTTCCGACGGGACGGGAATTCTTCCGCGAATCGTGGTTGTCGATTCGCGTTACCTATGCTCTCTCTCTCTCTCTCTCTCTCTCTCTCTCTCTCTCTCTATCTCTCTCTCTCTCCATTTCTTTCGGCCTTTGTCTTGTTCTTTGTCCCGAGCATTGTCTTCGTTCCGGATCCGTCTAGACGATGTTTTCGGCGAGCGGGCCACGCGTCGTGGCTGTGCTCGACGGTATCCCGCCTCACTCCACTTGCTCCCCTTCCATGTTGGCCGTTAACCTGGCTGTCAACAAATACGGCAGCGGTAATTCCTTTCGGGACGACACATAATTTGCTAGACGGAAGAGAGAATTGAGGGCATCACCTGATCGTGCCGTGACGGGCGATGAGCGACGTCTTCCACCTCCTCTTGCTCCTCCGGTCCTGCTGGTCGGCTTGGGAAGTCCTAGGGCCTAAAGTGTGGGACGCGGGACCGTTTCACCTGCGCACTCTTAACACTAATTGTCACTCTAATTAATGAAGTGTTTCAGGGAGCCAATTCGGACTCCCCATACATCGCACGAAACTTGCTTCCTCCCCCCCCCGCGTCGTGACCGAGGCTTCGCATGTTAGTGACGGGCTTCCTCGCCGCTGCCACATCACAACACACAAGACAAAAAAGGTATAAATATGACCGAGCAACCTCCACGCGGTACACCTTGGGTAATGGCCGGTGATACTGTTTCAA